AATAATGAATCTACAAAATAATGCTCTAAGTGAAAGTAACTCATTTTGGAGTGTGTTATTATGATTAATAGTGGAGCTCTGGCATTTTGTAGACTAATGTTAATACAGCAACATTTGGGTAGCACCTTTTGTGATTTTTCAAGGTGGTGCACTTGTTTGTTAATGCATCCCATGTCCAGCCATTGAATTATGCCAGCATTACTGACAGTGCCACTTTGTCAGGCTAGAAAGATGGTCTCAGACTCAATAAGGAAACACTTTATCAAAAGGAATAAAAAATGGAAATGAGCTACTACCTTTGGGCTCAGATTAAATTAGCCTCGGGAATTTAGAAGCAACAGCTACTCTTGCTGTTCCTTCTAATGCAGCATTGTGGATCTTTATATCTCATACTCTATTAATTCAGCAAATATTTATTTGGCACCTACTATGTGTAACGCATTAAGTGCTTATTTTGATTATCTGATTATCTTAAGATATACAAAATGAATGTATTTCCATTTGTGCCTTCATAAACTGTAGGAAAAGAAATGATGCATGTACGGAATTATCTGTAATAAGAGAAAGTAGCAGTATGTGCTATGGTAGAGAGACAATGTGCCAAGATTTCAGAGGGGGGGTGGGGGGAATTGTTTTAACTGAAGAACCAGAAGGGTATTCATATAGGAAATGGAAGTGGAGCAGAACCTTGAGGAGTGGTTAGGATTTGAACATATGAAATCAGGTTGAAGTAGTTCCAGAAAACGAACTATGCAATCCAGCATCAGGAGAGGGAAATTCTGGGATATCTACTGCAAAAGGATATCTGGGTAGAATTGCAGGGTTCGTAAAGGGGAGTTGTAGGGAGAAAGTCATGCAGGGTCACGGTGCAGTAGGTTATATTCGAGACTAAAGATTGTGAGCTTTAGTCTACAGGCATGAGAGAGATCCTGAGATTTTATTAATATAGGAATCCATGTTCATAACAGTACATCAGACAATTCACCTGGAGGCTATGCATGTGTTGTGTTGAAGAGGGCAGTAAGCTGGCATTCAGAGGATGGCTGAGAGCTATTGGTGGAGTCCTTGAAAAGGCATTAAAGGGAAGAACTGTCACTCTGGCCATGGGAATGGCCAGAGGATGATGGACAGGAGAGGTGACAGGGTTGCAGTATGGAATAAGTGTTGACAGTTTATTGAACATAAGGGGAAATGAGATGGAGAGGAGACAAGGATTTTGATGTTTTAAGAGAGAGAGAAAATAAGAATGGGTTTGATTGATGACAGAGTCCTATTTGTGCCACCTTGAATTTGAAGTGCTGGCAAGAGTCAAAGACTAAATATATCAAGAGCAATTTGCAATGCACATCAGAAATTAAGATAAAAATAAAGCCAGAGCTAGAATGTTACATACTTGGGAATAACATGATTGGATAATAGTATAAGTATCTTTGTTTTGAGAGTTCACCAGTGGGAGTGAGAAGAACATTACAGAGAGGAGGCCAGGAATAGATACGTGGAGAACAACTACACTTAGAAGGTGTAAGGAGGAAAGGAAATATTTCCCTCTCCCCTGGAAGAAAAGAAAAGACTCAGACAGAGTAGTCAGAGGCAGCAGAAGTGAGGGGGCTAGGGATTAGGGATGGGATAGGCGGTATCAGAAAGTTTGGACTGGGATAGCAGAGGTTGTTTTGCTTGCACACTGGGAATCTTACCTTCAAAAGGAGGAGAGATCATTTAATTATGGATAATCTATGTGTTTTCAGAGCAGAGTGCTTTAGGTCTTTACTAAGGAGTTTCCTGACATGACAAACTCCCACCATTCACAGCCATAGTGTTCCTAGTTTCCTTAGCAGAACATGTAAATCTGTGGCCTGCTGCTCACTGCTCTGGGAAGAGCCCTCTCACCAACATATGGATGCTCTTTCCAGGAGTCCTCTAGCAGCCCAAAGATGCATTAGTGATTTGGGTATCTTTCTGGCAGTAAGAGAACACTACCAAGCCCAGCTGGCATGGCTCAGAGATTGAACGTCGACCTATGAACCAGGAGGTCACAGTTCAATACCCAGTCAGGGCACATGCCTGGGTTTCAGGCTCAGTCCCTGGTATGGGGTGTGCAGGAGGCAGCCAATCAATGATTCTTTCTCATAATTGATGTTTCTATCTCTCTCTCCCTCTCTGAATCAATAAAAAATACATATATATATATATATATATATATATATATATATATATATATATATTTTAAAATGGGGTTGGGGGGAGCAGAAACTTGGAACCTCTCAGTCAAAGAGAACTGACATCTAAAACTACTAATAAACCATAAAATGTGAAGGACTTACAAATTAAACAGGCAGTTCTCTAACATTGAAATTTTAAATATTACAGGACTGATTAGAAAGCTCTGACTCAAACATCTGTTGAAAACACACTGCTCTTAAGTTAAATGTATGTGCACTCTCTTCACTGAGTAATGGGGACTATTAAAGTTTCATACTAATTGAAAAACAATTTTCCAAATGTGTTTGCTCAACATCACTTTAGATGTTGTTTTAATGATGGTTAAAAACACACACACACACACACACACACACACACACACACACTCTAGAGGCCCAGTGCACAAATTCGCGCATGGGTGGGGTCCCTCAGCCTCACCAGTGATTGGGGCCGATGGGGCCGGCCACCTGGTGGGGGCGGGGGGGGGGGAGACTGCAGGAGGTTGGCTATGGGAGAACACTGACCACCAGGGGGCATCTTCCACATTGAGCGTCTACCCCCTGGTGGTCAGTGCGTGTCATAGCGACTGGTCATTCGGTTGTTTGGTCGTTTGGTTGTTCAGTTGCTTAGGCTTTTATATATAGAGACTAGAGGCCCGGCACATGAAATCTGTGCATGGGTATGGTCCCTAGGCCTGACCTGTGATCAGGGCGATCTTCCCCAGCTGCTCCCCCCCCCCCCCGCCACCCCCCTCCCCCGGTTCCCCATTCACCATCTGGTGATCAGAGCCTGCTGGCCTGGGGGAGGGACTGAGAGTTTGGCCATCCCACCCACTTGCCGGCCCCATCCCCCGATGCCAGTTGCCCTCTATGTGTGGGGAAACCAGTGGAGTGGAGGCCTTGGCCTGGCACTGCCCATGTCCACCACCACCCACCCCTGGTTCCCCATTCCCCATCAGGTGATCGGAGCCTGCTGGCCAGGGGAAGGGATCCAGAGGTTGGCCAGCAGGCTCCGATCAGGTGATCAGGGCCTATGGGCTGGGGCAGCTCCTGCATTGAGTGTCTGCCCCCTGGTGGTCAGTGCACATCATCCCGCCCTTCGCTCAATTTGCATATTACCCTTTTATTATATAGGATAATAAGTAAACTGCTTAATTGTTTAAATAAGCAGTTTAGCTTTCAGAGACCTATGGAAACAACGTGTGAGGATACAAGGAAATCATATCCCCAGTGTGTGCCAGTCTTTTGGAACACTGATGTGCTGAGAGGCAAAAATATTATTCAGAAATTGGGCACTGACACTACTTTCTTTTCCCAAGAGAAATCGGTCAAGAACCAGATGAGTGTCCTAGCCTGTTTGGCTCAGTGGATAGAGCATCGGCCCGTGGACTGAAGGGTCCTGGGTTCGATTCCAGTCAAGGGCACATACCTTGGTTGCAGGTTCCTCGGCCCTGGTTGGGTGTGTGCAGGAGGCAACCATTTGATGTGTCTTTTTCACATCCATGTTTCTCTCTGTCCCTCCCCCTCTCTTTCACTCAATAAACAAATAAATCAATAAATCAATAAATAAATGGAAAAATATCCTCAGGTGAGGAATAACAAAACAAACAACAACAAAAAGAACCAGATAAGCTTATATTTAGAAATATTCATATAAGTAGAACCACCGGTTTGTTGGTATCAGCTGACATGGTAACATTGTCCTGAGTATAAAAAGGACAGTGTTGCCCTAGCTGGTTTGGCTCAGTGGATAGAGCGTTGGCCTGCGGACTGAAGGGTCCCAGGTTCAATTCCAGCCAAGGGCACATGCTTGGTTTGCGGGCTCGATCCCCAGTAGGGGACGTGCTGGAGGCAGCCGATCAATGATTCTTTCATCATTGATGTTTCTCTCTCTCTCTCCCTTTCCCTTCCTCTCTGAAATCAATAAAGAATATTTAAAAAAAAAAGGACAGTGTTTAGGAGGTTCTTCCCTCTCTGAGATTTTCACTGGGAGCAGCAGCCTCATAGGGAACTAACGTGTAAGAGAAAAAGCAAACAAGGATGTGCTAAATCTGCCTTTTCTCTGGGTTACCACTTTACCACTTCCTGTGGGTTCAGCAGCTGGGCTGAATAAATGGGCCCGTGGCAGGTGTGTGTCTGATCTCTTCCCACCACTTGGTAACCCAGCTGCATGGTGCATTACCTTTAAAAATTGTAGTGAATGAGTCAAGGGGCATTTCCAAATGCCTAACTTCACAAGTTCATCTTAAACCCTGTGAATATCTTTTGGTTTTCATTATAGTTGTCCTGGATCTAGGTAGTGTTGTGTAAGTTAGAGTAAACTTTCAAAATTATGATCAAAATATATATGTTGAGGCTATGAAAAATGAATTGATTACCTCCAACAAACACAACCTATCATTGCTTGTTGTATATGTATCTATACATAATCTTAACCCATGAAGGTGGGGGCCAGGGCCATCTTGTTTCTGAGGGTATCCGCAAAACTGAGCAATGTTATTTATTCAATTGACTATGAATTGACTTTTGAAAAACAGAACCTTCCTTATAGAGAACAGACTGACAGCTGTCAGAGGAAAGGGGAGATTGTGGTGCTGGATATAAAAGGTGAAGGGATTAAGCAAAACAAAAGGGGGGTCATTCCAAAATATCCTTTAATGGGGCTTTTGTTATAGAGATATTAATACTGTATATGTTTAAACACTTTTGGTTTGCTTTACAACTTTACTAAAAAAGAATTCCTATATATAGCTCTCTCTTTATTTTCCTGAGATAATTACTATGTAAATTACTGTTCTCCAGGATTGAAACTCTTCCAACATGGCTTTCCTTGGGCTCTTCTCTTTGCTGCTTCTGCAAAGTTTGGCCGTAGGGACCACTTTCCCTGATGAAACCATTGCTGAGTTCTCGGTGACTATGTATAATCACCTTCGAGCCACTGGGGAAGATGAAAATATTCTTTTCTCGCCATTGAGCATCACCCTTGCTATGGGAATGATGGAACTGGGGGCCCAAGGGTCTACCCTGAAAGAAATCCGTCATTCAATGGGATATGACAGGCTGAAACTCGGTAAGTGTGCTTAGGTTTGATTTCTCAGGATGGTTTAACTTTAACTTTTAGCTCAGTTGTGTTGCCTTATGCCAGAGACAGCAGTATTTCACACAGCAAGAAAGTATTCTCATTGATATGGTATGGCTAGGAGAAACTTTAGGAAACTCAAGAAAGGAGTTAATTCTGAGTTCCATCCCTGGCTGAGTTAATTAAAAGAAATTATGTATTATTAATAATAATAATAATAATATTTAAATAAATCTTATTGTGATAAACAAAAGCAAGCATGGTACTTGCCCTGAATTTTAAGTGTAGATGGAGAGACATATGTAATCAGTTATCATATAAGTAAATGAAACTTTACAACTGTGATGAGTGCTACAAAGAAAAGAAACATGATTCTCTAAGAATATCAGATTTTTTTTTTGCTTAAAATCATGTTTTCATTATTATGAGACTTATATATAGTAAAAAATTTGTAGCCAAAAGGTATTTTGTAATCAGTTTGACATGGTATATGATTTCTATTTTAATGTTTCTAATATACATGTGAATTAACTCATTAAACAGTTAAGAACTAAAACAATTTATAAAGGATTTTCTAGTTATAAGGTTTTAAAAAAGTCTAGTAAAAGTAAATTTAAAGGAGTAATTTTTAAGCTAGAAAATTAAACTCAATTTTTATTTCTGATCAACATAAGACTAATTTAATGAAAGTAACCTAAGTACTTTGAAAGTAAATAACCAAAAAATCTTTACTTGATAGATTCTACCAAGATATAGATTAAAATGAAAAATAATATCAGTTGATAACAGTAAAGTTCAAAACTGTTAATTTGAACATCTAGAAATCACAGAAATATTGAACTTCCTTACCATGTCAATGTGGAGAATAAGGGATGCTTTTCCCCTGGGTCGTTAGCTGTGTTTTTACTGCCCGTACATTCTCTGTTTGTCCCACTAGTAAACTTACCCTATGTCATTTTGCAGGTGAAGAATTTTCTTTCTTGAAGGATTTTTCTAACATGGTCACTGCTGAAAAGAGCCAGTATGTGCTGAAAATTGCCAGTTCCCTCTTTGTGCAAAATGAATTTCACATCAATGATGAATTTTTGCAAATGATGAAAAACTATTTTAATGCGGAAGTAAATCATGTGGACTTCAGTCAAAATATTGCTGTGGCCAACCACATCAATAAGTGGGTGGAGAATAACACAAATAGTATGTCATTTGCTTCTTTTCTTTCTCAAATAGCTTAGTTTTGACTCTCTCCTTAGTCCTGAAATTATTTGTCTCCTCATTCCTTTTCTATTTTGTATATTATATAGAATTTAGTTAAGTATCTAATAATTATTCTACATAGATTGAAGTCTTTTTAGAAGCACTGCTTATGAATAAACATTTGAGAAATAAGTATAGTCTTTTGCCATGTCTAGAATTTTGATGCTGATAGATTAACACTCACCAGTTGATGGGTTTTTCCTGTGTAGTCATCTTAGCTATGGTATGGAACTTTGCTTGAGCTATTTAATAAATTAGATACTGATTGGAATGGCAGTTGGTGGTGGCTATCTTATGATTAAAATAAAATAAGAGAGTTAAAAGTCAGAGTTTAAAGATTTTTTTGTTGGCTTCACAAGACTTGATTGGTAATCAAAAAATTGTATAAGATTCCTTTAAAAAAGAGCAGCCCACTTTAAGCACAAATAAATGGAGAGAAATTAGAAAGAGATGTATGAATTTAAAATTTTATTTTTAATTCATGTATTCTAAATGTATTTCAGTTTTCCAAATGTTTCATATCTTATAATTCTATTTTCTAATTTTACCATAAAAATGAAATTAGAATCTAAAAAATGAGACCAAATTTAACGTAGTTTTACTACAGCTGTCCCATAAATTAATTCATATTGTCAAACTCCCCAAGTGATGTTAATCTATTAAATTTTATGTTGAAACAGCAACAAAAAACCCTGATGACATGTGCTATTCCTACCAATCCCCCAAAACTGAAGCACCTTCGTAAGCTCAGAAGTACAATAGTTAATAAAATGAGAGATTACAGAGCAAAATTTGGTCCTATGTTTTTCACTGTGATATTACTTTTTCTCTATGACTACTCTCACTAAGATCACTCTTTCAACTATGAGATTAAAATGTAAGAAAAAGAAATTTATGTTGTTTTTTTAACATTCAAAGAATAAATCAAGAATATTAATCTACCTGGGATAGATTGAATTATTAAAAGCTGTTTGTTTCCAAACTCTTTTTGTTTGTTTGTTAACCCTCACTTGAGGATATTTTTCCATTAATTTTTAGAGAGAGTGGAAGAGAAGGGGAGAAACAGAGAGAAAAATATCTATGTGAGAGAGACATATCTTTTGTTTGCCTCCCAAACATGCCCCCACAAGGCCAGGGATCGAACCTGCAACCTAGGTACGTGCCCTTGACCAGAATCGAACCTGGGACCCTTCAGTCCAATGGCTGACGCTCTATCCATTGAGCCAAACTGGCTAGGGCTCCAAACTCTTTTTAAACACTTATCAACAAAGACCCAGTGTCTTTCAAAATAGATTCAGAAAGGAATATATGTGATAGAAAAATAAAGCATCACAAGTTAAATTGGCTTTCACTTATCTGTTTTTACCTGGTCAAAGCAGTTGTTATATTTGGTAGAAAGATATCCAATGTACACGGGGGCATGGCTGAATTGAATGACATTTTAATCATGGACAATGTTCAAGAATAAACCTAGCATCATTTGTTGAGTGTTACTCTGTGCTGAGTGTTACATACATCATTGCAACTAGAAAGGGTTGAAGCCTGAGATTCTTCTGCAAGTAGTTCTGCAGTTGGTGCAAGTATCTACACTTGTGTTATTTTAGGTGGTGTGGCTATTTTAGATACCCTTAAGCTATAATTGTGTGTGTGTGTGTGTGTGTGTGTGTAACATTTTTCTTTTGAAAGTGAGGTAACATTTTTCTTTTGAAAGTGAGGTATTTTTAAAGTTTATTATAAATTTAGTAATGGTATAGAGTTTTTCTGAATCACTCTATTGGATGGTAATTTGATAATCTTTGGTCCCCTTTCATCTTCTAATTTAATATTAATTTTCATCCATTTATTTTTCCTGAATAGGTCTGTTGAAAGATTTGGTATCCCCAAGAGATTTTGCTGCTGTCACTCATCTGGCCCTCATCAATGCTGTCTATTTCAAGGGTAACTGGAAGTCACAATTTAGACCCGAAAATACTAGAACCTTTTCCTTCACTAAAGATGATGAAAGTGAAGTCCAAATTCCAATGATGTACCAACAAGGAGAATTTTATTATGGTATGACATTTTGGCTTTTATTTCTCTCTTTTTGAGGTATATCAACAAATTTCTTTTTTAAAATATGTTTTTATTTATTTTAGAGAGAGAGGAAGGGAGAGAGAGAAAGAGAGAAAGAAACAGTGACCAGATTCCTCCCAGAAACACCCAGACCAGGGATCAAACCCGAAACCTGGGCATGTACCCTGAAGAGGAATCGAACCGGTGACCTTTTGGTGCAAAGGACGATGCTCAATCAACTGAGCCACACTGACCAGGACTTGACAAATTTTAAAAAATGAACATGAAATATTCTGTACTTAAATTTCTTGTCAATTTAATTTAAGATAAATTTTCTTAGCTCCATTTTCCAAGCCTCTAATTAGATCCTGAGTGAATACTATGAATACTAGAGGCCCAGTGCACAAAATTCATGCACCCTCTCCAATCTGGGACCCCTTGGGGAATGTCCGACTGCCGGTTTAGGCCCGATCCCACACAGGGATCGGGCCTAAACCGGCAGTTGGACATCCCTCTCACAATCTGGGACTGCTGGCTCCCAACCGCTCGCCTGCCTGCCAGCCTGATCAGCCCTTAACCACTCTCCTGTGAGCCTGATTGACACCTAACTGCTTCCCTGCTGGCCCGATGGCCCCCAACTGCCCTCCCCTGCCAACCCAGCCACCCCCAACTGCCTTCCCCTGCTGGCCTGGTCTCCCCTAACTGACCTCCCCTGCAGGCCTGGTCCCCCCCAACTGCCCTCCCCTGCCAGCCCAGTCACCCTTAACTGCCCTCCCCTGCAGGCCTGGTCCCCCCCAACTGCCCTCCCCTGCCAGCCCAGTCACCCTTAACTGCCCTCCCCTGCAGGCCTGGTCGCCCCCAACTGCCCTCCCCTGCGGGCCATCTTGTGGTGGCCATCTTGTGTCCACATGGGGGCGGCCATCATGTGGGAGGGTGTGATGGTCAATTTCATATTACCTCTTTATTATACAGTGAGGCCTTGACTTACGAGTTTAATTCGTTCCATGACGGAGCTCGTAACTCAAATTACTCGTATGTCAAATCAAAAAGTGAACAAGTGAGACACGTGATGCTGGGCTGATGTTGTGGCGTTCACTGTGACCTTCGCTGCGCCAACTAACGGTGGGGTATCTGAAGCTTTCTCGTAACCTGAATTTTAGCTCGCAACTCAAAGCAAAAAATCGGCCAGCTGAGAGACGGCTCGTATCTCGAAAAACTCGTTAGTCGGGACACTCGTAAGTCAAGGCCCCACTGTATAAAATTATGTGTAATGACAGCTTTTCAATGTTTCATCAATTTATAAATTTGATCACACCTACAAAGTGACTTTGATCACGTAAAAATACTAGAATACGACTATTCAGTTACTACAAAAAGTCATAGGCTTTGGGGTGGTTTTCAGTGATCCATATGTTCCACCCAGCTCTCGATTTGACGCCTTATAACTTTTTGAATTACAAGCATTCTTTTGAAATTTTGCTTTTACAGCTGTGTATGTATGGCAGACAAAACTATTCATAGTTTCATTTATTAAATGTCTATAATTTATGATACAATTCAATATTCTTGCATTATTTTCAAAGATGCTTCATTAGACTTTTTAGAAATTTTGGGTGTGAATCCTTCCTATGCCCTACATTAAGCTGTAAGAGTTTGTTGTTATAAGTAGAAATGTAATTGTAAGCTAAGTATATGTTATAACTACTAGCTTATTTTATTTACAAATACATTGTAAAAAAGTATTATAATCACAGTTAATCAAATTAACAGTAAAAACAAGAAAGGAAAATACCCATTTATTTGCGAATTGAAATGATTAATGTGAAGTTTAAGAGCCCTAGATCAATTATAGGAAAATATTCACAACAAAGGCGTTACGTTTTTTGAAAAATGGGGACAATTTTAAAGTTGTGACAGGACCATTTGTTTTAAAGACTACCTGAGCTTTTTATGAAAGCCTCGTCAATTTAGTTAAGTTTCTAGAACACAAAGCCAATTATCTAAATTTACCTAATTACATAATCTAAAGGTCACAGTCACCACAAATACATTATATAGCTATTATAGAAAGGAATGGATTTTATTATGGCTATGCTACCTTTGCCTCAAAATGTTTAGTTGTAGTATTAATAGAGTACCAGGTATTACATGGTCAATTTTTCCCTACTTAATAATCAGGCAGATATTGGTAAATGTGGTATAGGATTCAGGACTTTCTTTTTCTAACCAGAAACATTTCATTGTTTCTAATAATATCCTTTAAATCTATAGTCATTTGAAGTCCCATTTTCAAATATAAACTAAGTCTAGAGAACATGTTATGACAAATGTGAGCTAATTCTGGGGATTCTAAAATAAATAAATTCTACAGGACATAGGATTCACTTGAATTTCAAGGTCTGTTTTTAAGTAAACCTTTTTCTCAGATGCCTAAATTTCTTATATTTTTTAAAAAGTTGTAACAAATTTAAACCTTTTATTTCGGCTTTGGCATGGGCCTTTTTATCACATTTCTTTTCTTTTTAGGGGAATTTAGTGATGGCTCCAATGAAGCTGGTGGTATCTACCAAGTCCTAGAAATTCCATATGAGGGCGATGAGATCAGTATGATGCTGGTGTTGTCCAGACAGGAAGTTCCACTGGCCACCCTGGAGCCACTGCTCAAAGCGCAGCTGATTGAAGAATGGGCCAACTCTGTGAAGAAGCAGAAAGTGGAAGTGTACCTGCCCAGGTGAGAGGCTCCTGTGTGACTCCCTCTGAGAGCATGGAGGGAGGGAGAGCAACGAAGATTCTGACCCAGGGAAACTCTTGCCATTACTTTTGAATTTTAAGTCTTGTGTTACTCTCCTCCTCCTATTACTGGTCCTATTCTGTCCTCTCTCATCCTCTTGTTACTCCTCCTCCTCTGTTCTTCCTCCTCCTCCCCCCTCCTCCTCTTCCCCTTCTTCCTCTAATTATTCTCCTTCTTCTCCTTTTTTCAAAGTATTCTTTAATTCTCATGTTGTCCTGCTCAGAGACACAGGCTCACTTATTGATTTAGTCAATACTATTTACCAACACCTAGTTTCAGATATGAGTCAATATTCTTGGCTTCATTGTAAAAGATTTTTCCAATAGATTGTCTCTGAATATAATTTACAGTGACAGTCTTCTGTATTTCATTAATATTTAAAGTTGATTATAGCTGGAAAAAATGATCTCTGACATTGTTGGCAAAAGAACAAGCAAGTCCCAGTGCTAGGTGCCAAGATACAACCATAAGTAAGCAGGAAGAAGCTTAAAATTCTCCCTGTGGCCAAAAGAATAAGGTCCATACAGGGCCTTGCTGTTCTTACACGATTCTCTTCCTCAACCCTACCTCTGGCCACCAGCACAGCAAACATCTGGTAGCATGTACTATCTGTGTGCCACAGCATCATGCTCTTCTCGTGCCTCTGGGTCTCTATGTGTATTTTTTGTATTGACTTAAAATGCTCTCTTTACATTGCTTTGCCAGATTTACATACTTAAGCTTTAGGGTACAGCTCTGGCACCAGTTTTAGGAAGCCTTCCATGAACCCCCTGATGAGCAGTTGACCCTCACTTTGTCCTCACTTATGCATCTCCCTATAGTGACATTTATGTTACACCCCACAATGAAATTACCCTTTTGTAAGTCTTACTTTACTTCTGTAAGTTCTTCTACAGTCAGATCTCCCCCATGATTGAAATGTGTTTGTAAAACGAAACCCAACTGAAGATATTTATTCTGTCCTTGAATACCTTAAAACCTAGCAGGGGCATGAGACCAGTGAACACAAACAAATTTATAAGCAAACATAGTGTGTAAATTCTGGATTAGAAAACAAGACATACAAATAAACAACAGGTAAACATATACGTATATGTGTATGTGGAAGTACAGTTCTAACATTCATTCCATATTAAAAAAATTATACAAATATAATTAATTAATATGAACATTACAAATGATAAGTAAGGTATTAGTATTAAAATTGAATTACTAAACATTCATATTCTAATTTTAGGAATTATTTAAAAGTTATATCTTATACTATTTGTCATACTTTAAACAATACAAAAATATAAAAATAGTTACATCTTATATAAATGCTTATTTTTCAAAAAACTTAGCTGATGTTTGTTTATGTATATGGAGATTATTTGGAACTGTAGACAGTTTTGGCTAGAAAGATATATACACATTATGTTAGTGTTATATATCTGTAATATGTAACAATACATAATAAATAGCCATACATTTCTTAGTACACATATAAAAATTAAGGTATTCATACTCCAAATATTTATTTTTATTTTTGGCTAAAATATTAAGTTTGCATAACTTTCTATGATAACACTTTTACTAGTATGTAGCAAGTTTCCACTATGTCTATGCTCAGGGAGATAGAGGTAGCCAGTGACTATCTAACAAATAAAGCTAAGGCCATGTAATACACACACACACACACACACACACACACACACACACACACATATATATATATATATATATATATATATATATATATATATTAAGTGTGTATATATGTATGTATATTTATATAATTGTATACATACTGGATATATAAACAATATATCGTAACTCTAAAAGAATTTACTTTTAAACATTATTAACTAAATTTAAATATCTAAATCAGATCTAAAATCTCATCCAGAGACCTTTATTATTAATCTTATATTTTTCATTGAATTTTATAATGAATTTCTTTTTTATTTCAATTGCTTTGATTGGTTTTTAGAGAGAGAGGAAGGGGAGGCATGGAAACATCCATGAGATAGAAACATCATCAATCAGCTGTCTCCTGCACACCCCCTACTGGGGATGGAGCCCTCAACCCAGGCATGTGCTCTGACTGGGAGTCACACCCATGACCTTTTGGTTCATGGGTCGATGCTTAACCACTGAGTCACACCAGCTGGGCATGAATTCATTTTGATAAAATGAGAAAATCAGTACAGTATTAATGCTCTCCTTATTGAATTTTATGCGTTAAGTGCAGCGTATCTAAATGCTTAATTCTGTGAGGATGCAAAGTTACTTAGGAGTACTGTAGCAGAATTGCAAATGAATGCTTAAGTATCACTTGTTCTAATTCAACCATATTCACTAGAAAATGTGGCCTCCAGGTCCTAGCCACTGAGAAACTGAACGTGGGTGCAGAAGAAAATTAATTTTTCATATTCTAAGATACACTCTTCAATTATGAAATAGTTTAGCTTGCTTCCCCATATTAATGCTTGTTACTAAACTAGGCACAGCTGATTACCATGTATCCATTTCTGTAGGAATTCTGTGAACTCTCCCTCTGCATGGCTAATGCATACAGAGGGAGGCTAATTGAGAGGAAAGATACATTTAGTTTCCCTTTTCAAGGGATTGGCTATTTTCAAATACTAATGTGTCAGTAATAATCATTGGGAAACTATCCACCCCCCTCCATTGTACAGCATTAGGATCCACAAAATGTTCGACAAAGGTAATGACTTCTGTGACCCAGTTTTAGCAAAGGTAGCATTGTCCTGATAGCTGTGTTCTAGGTTCACTCAAGTGTCTGTCTAAATGGTTTGTGTAATTTTATTCATATGGAAATTATTACCTAAAAATGCAACTTTGCATTTCTGTAATTTGACCAATTCTTGTTCTGCTTGACAGGTACTTTACTTTCTGTTACACTACATTTTATAGAGAAAGCTGTAGAATGCCTCTCTTAAGAGGTATAGGGTATTTCAGGGTATGGGGGAGGAGAGATGGGACAATGAATTTTGTATTTGTGTTACCCCCCCCCAACAATAAATCCTACTGGACTCAGATAATAAATTAAAAGTGTATTTTTATCCAAAATATAAGAAGTCTGCCTAGAAGAGGGTAAGATTGCTATACCTATGTGATATTGCCAAATCCAGTGGAATTCCATAAGGTTTGTGCACAGGAATACATCTCTAAGATTTAAATAATATTGTCAGATATTCTTCCAATTTACCCACAGTAGCAAAAATAGTTTGGTATATATATATATGAAGAGGGGGAGAGAGAGAGATTAACTCTAAAAAGCACATTAGAATAATGCCTGACACAGAGTAAGCATCATATAAGTACTATCTATTGTTGTTTAATTTTCAGTGCACATTTTTATATGCTTTTACTGATTTTAGAGAGAGGAAGGGGGAGGAGAAGAGAGAGAGAAACATCAATAATGAGAGAGAATCATTGGTAGGCTTCCTCCTACACACCCTCCGACTAGGTATCGAGCCTGCAGCCCAGGCATGTGCCCTGACCGGGAATCGACCTGAGACCTCCTGGTTCATAGGTCCATGCTCAACCAATGAGCCATACTAGCTGGGCTCAATGTACATTTTAAATACTAGTATTTATCTTATGTTAACCTAAGGGTAGTTTTATATATGCTTTTCTCTAGGTACCTGTTCTAAAAACTGGTTCTAATGAACATTCCTCTCTTCATTACATGCTCTGGCTCTTCAGTATTTACTGATGCAGCTTAGGTATAAGAAGAATTTTCTAAAATCAAAATCCAGTAATACTTGGAAGGCAGAGGTCCCTGTCTGTAATGTCTTTCCACTCTGACTTTTGTAGTCTCAGATTTGTCATTTGTGACCAGAGAGAAATCAAAGGATATAAAGTGGTTCTTTGTTATGTAGCTGGGAACCATGCTGTTATTTTGAAATGATTGCCTACTAATAAAGCACTTCAGTTTCATGTTTATAAAAGAAAACCAATGCATAAGCCATCTGATTTTGTTCTTTAACCCGAATGCTTTTTATTAGATTTTTCTACAAAGGGTTTGCTTAGTTTCTTAATTACTTATAAATTTTATTGAAGGTAATATATATTTGTTTTTGTAACATTTGCTCCACATATCTACTCAGTCTCTGATGCTTCTGCCCTCCACATACTTCTTCAGCTTATTCAGATAAAAAGGTGCAGATATGCCATTACATTGTATGCCTTTATTAAAGCAGGCATGCCTTTGGTATTTTTTTAAAGCAGTGTTTCGCCTTTTATTTTTAAATTCAGTGGGTGAAATATAAAATCTGCCTGTAGTTGTTGTGGTTTTTTTTTAATAAACCATTGTTGTAATTATAGTGATTAGTCTTAGGGAGCTTTGCAGTCAGGAAGACCTTAGTTCATACCCTCATTTGATGACCTGTTAGCTGTGTGACCAGGGCAAGTTGCTAAGCTTTTGGGGGCTCTTTTGTGGACTAGAGATAATACCTATATCATAGGGTTGTGTGAGATTGTCATGGGGATGATTAAAGGAAATACTGTACATAAAAGGATTCACATAGTGCCTGTGACATAGTAAACATTCAGTATAAAAATGAATATGTATATTAGTATTAGTCTATATTAAGGGGAAAGATATTATAAATGGATAATAGTTATTCTTCAATAGTTGATGAGGAAAAGAAGAGGATGAATGAATAAATGGAAATTGTTTACATCCTGTCTTCAACTTAGAACAACATTCTCATGATTTGAGTTCACTTCCACCTATGTGTTTTGTCCTATGCAGATACTACAAATATTAAAATGAAAAAAGACACTAGATTTGACTAATTTGCAGTGAAAGTAGCAGGGATTAATACGGCTACTTAATCAAGTTACTTCATCACCACTAAAATGCAAATATAAACATCTTAACATTATAATAATGTGAATATTATACATAACTTCAATATAATAAGAACTGTTAACAGTATTGCTATTTATCACATGCCTGCTACATGCCAACACCATTATAAGACTTTGAGAAACCTTATTTAATCCCATCAACAATACTATGAAGTGGGTATTATTATTATTATTATTGCCATTTTCTATATGCCACAACTGAGGCATATGGAAACCAAGGAACTTGCCCAAGTCAGTCCGGCTAAATTGCCATCCTCACCGAAACAGCCAGCCTCAGAAGTGTGAAAAAAGAAGTTGATTTTAAGAGGCAAAAAGAATTCCCTCCTGACATCTACCTTTCCTTTCTAATTTAGGAGAATCAGGACAAATATCATGCTACCTGGACCCCTATCCCAGTCTTGCCATTTATTTAGCTGCATGGCCTTGTCAGGTTATTTCATCTTTCTGCCTTCAGTTTCTTCTTCTTTTAACTGGGGATAATAATATAATACCTACTTCTAAGGGCTGCAGTGATATTTATATGACTGTTTTTTCTTCTCTTGTAACATATAGTAAGCTCCATATAGTAAGTGATCAAAAAATAAATTAATGATAATGATAATAATAAAGCACACACAAAAACCTTAATCAAGTCATCAAATGTATTTTCCAAGATATTCCGTATTTTCCTATTCATCCCCTTTTGTACTTTTACAATCGATATCACCTTTTCGTAAAAAACAAAATAAAAGTGTTAAGTCCAAGTTAAAGTGAGGGGTATAGATAAAATTTAGTATGTTTGCTCTACATTTCCTTGTCTTTTGATCTAGTTTTTTTCGTAGACCTGCTAAAACTAATCACTCCTCTTGGTGTCTATCTCATTTATGGCAATCATTCCCTTGTCACTTTTCTTAAAACCAGACATCAGAAATGAAGCTACATTAAAAAAAAAAGTAATGCTACATTAATGTGACGTTTAGTGACTATCGCAGACTTAGCTCTGTTAAGTACACAGTCATTGCCTAAAATTTATGTTTTATTCATATTGATCAGGAGGCACATTTAATTCTAACCAGTTGTTTTCACTTTTTATAGAAATATTAAAACCCTTTGCTTTTAACAAATGCATTTGTTTGTTAATGCAGCCATGTTTGGTCCTTATCTTTTACTAGTAAGATGGGTGATACAACTCATTGGTTTGGGAGAGATTCTGTTTAGTAACAATCTGGCTTTCTGTGGGAACCATTTTTTAAATTAATGTTCTGTTTATGACCACTGTTCTTATTTTTGAGTTTTTAAATAATGTTGTATTTATTTTTACAAAAATGAGGCACATTTATGTATAATAATTCATATAGTATATTAATTATTATGTATATTAATTCATTGGAACAATAAAAATCTATTATTCTTGATTTAAAAATCTCTGTATAATTATAAAAGTACATAGTTTTTAAGATATAATATTTAACTCACTTTCATTAATTAACAATTTTTGTGGGATACTACCATGAGAACAGGCTTATGTCCTAGAGGTTAATATAACCGAGAACATATATATTTTTAAACGTGATAGTTTTTATGTTTCCTTTCTGTGAGTTACATGGAGTTGAAATGCTGGATGTATTCATTTTATAGAAACAATTGGCTCTTATTTAACCCTTTTCATTGGGTAGAAAGTTGACCAGGATACTAAGAAGAGAATGAAGCATCTTGGGGAAATGTATGATTAATCATTACCAACTTAAAAAAAACACACAAATATATTTATAGGTCAAAGGACTTGAAAACTGTTCATGTACAAATTTTACATAGTACTATGGTAATTATTCTTGATATCAAAACTCATTTATTCCACCATATATTATGGCTTTGTGTCCATGTTATGTATTTGCCTACTTAATTTAATACTCTTCTGTTATATTATTCCATTTGACACCCTCTCTTTTTATAAGCACAATCAAATACTACTTGCAGTCAAAAGCCAGTTTTAGTATAACTTTACCTCATAAAACAGGCTTTAAATATCTAAATATCTAACATTTTATTCTTGTCTCAGATAACAAGATACTGTAATGAAATACTTTAAAAATGCGGTAACTAATTTTTCCCCCTTGTGTTCTCCAGGTTCACAGTGGAACAGGAGATTGATTTAAAAGATGTTTTGAAGGCTCTTGGAATAACTGAAGTTTTCACCAAAAATGCAAATTTGACAGCCTTGTCTGGTAGGAAACAAACACCAATATTTTTTTAAAAAATGTTATTTTGCCCTGGCCCTTATGGCTCTGTTGGTTGGAGCATCATCCCATACACTGGAAGGTGGTAGATTCAATTCCGGTCTGGGCACATACCCAGGTTGTGAGTTCAATCCCCAGTCTGGGTGTGTATGGGAGCCAACCAATCAATGTTTCTCTCTCATATCTCTCTCCCTCTCTCTCTCTCTCTCTCTCTCTCTCTCTCTCTCTCTCTCTCATGTTATTTCATAAAAGCTTTTTAAAGTGATATTGAATTATCTATTTATTATAGATTTCTGAGGTAAAATATAGTTATTTACCAGATAAATATAATAACTATGTTTAACTTCTACAAGCAAAATTATAAATATAGTCAAAACATTAAGTTTATATTATCCTGGTCCATGTTTTATCTTTGAAAATAGACTATAGTCTCCAGAAGACCTGTCTTATCTTTGAACTTCCCATATCATCAGATACAATGCCTTGTAGAGTACATAATAAATAAATGTATTGATCAAATATCTCAATATGTCCGGTAATAATAAATCATAGAGGAAAGAAAGAAGGAAGAGAGGATAAATGAGTTTCTGCTATGAGAACTAAATACTTTTAAAACAGTACTCGGTGAGATGAGGTAAATATTATTCTAAGTCTTCAATAAAAAACATAGATTTTGAAGAAGTAGCTTTAAAACATACCCAGCATATTGGATATTGAGTAATTTATTTTAAATATTTCAAGAAAATAAAATTCACTTGAATAATTTATTAAGTTGCCCTAATTTGTTCATTGTAAAATATCATACTATATTACTAACATTAAAGTACTTAGAACCTACAAAATCTTTTTGGAAATACTTTTAAGTAAGTAGCCAACCCCAAGATATTTATCTACACTAATAAAAGACAAAGATGCTAATTGACCGTACCTTCGCTATGCCCTAAGCCACGCCCACCAGCCAATCAGAGCGACTATATGCAAATGAACCCAACTAAGATGGCGGCCGGCAGCCACAGAGCTGGAGCAAGCAGGAGGCTGGGTTGCCCCGGCGACGGAGGAAGCCAAGATTCTGCCAGCCCTGAGCCGGCTGTGGCCTCCACTAAAGGCAACAAAGTTTCAATTATAGAAGATAAACAAATCCCAGATACCTGCTTCCAGCCAGCCTCCACTGGGAGCTTGGGTGGCTGGGGGTTGTGTCCAGCCTGCAAACAGACATCAGCCCATCACCCAGGCTGGCCACACGCTCATGGGGTGAGGGTCCCCGCTGAGGGGCTGTGGCCAGCCTGCAAACAGCCCTCAGCCCCTCACCCAGACTGGCCAGGCACCTCAGCAGGGACCCCCCACCCTGAAGGGGCTGTGGCCAGCCTGCAAACGGCCCTCAGCCCCTCACCCAGGATGGCCAGGCACCCCAGTGGGGACCCCCACCCTGAAGGAGCTGTGGCCAGCCTGCAAACAGCCATCAGCCCCTCACCCAGGCTGACCAGGCACCCCAGTGGGGACCCCCCACCCTGAAGGGGCTGTGGCCAACCTGCAAACAGTCATCAGTCCCCCACTCAGGCTGGCCAGGCACTCCTATATAATAAAAAGGTAATATGCAAATTGACCCTAACAGCAGAACGACTGGGAATGACTGGTCACTATGACACACACTGACCACCAGGGGACAGATGCTCAATGCAGGAGCTGCCCCCTGGTGGTCAGTGCGCTCCCACAGGGGGAGCTCTGCTCAGCCACAATCCAGGCTGACGGCTGCCAGTACAGCGGTGGTGGTGGGAGCCTCTCCAACCTCCTCAGCAGAACTAAGGATGTCCGACTGCAGCTTAGGCCTGCTCCCCGCTAGCAAGTGGACATCCCCCGAGGGCTCCCAGGCTGCCAGAGGGATGTCTGACTGCCAGTTTAGGCCTGATCCCCCAGGCAGCGGGCCTAAGCCAGCAGGTGGTCATCCCCCGAGGGGTCCCAGACTGGTAGAGGGCACAGGCCGGGCTGAGGGACCCCCCGCCCCCCCGAGTGCACAAATTTTTGTGCACCGGGCCTCTAGTCATAGAATAAAGCTAACTGTGAGTTTGAGACTCAACTTATACAATGATTATTTTCTATCATTTCTATAAAATACAGAAAATAAAAACAATCTGTTTTTTTATGAGATAAAGTCAAATATATAGCAAGATAAAAGAAATTCAACATGTAAGTCCTCTTTATATGCAATTTTTTTAATCAAATTCTCCATCTAGAGAGAACTGAGGTGATAGGAGATTTTCTTAACAGTTCATGAGTTGCAGGAGAGAATTTAGTTTTCTTTTCCTGAAGTAGCAACCTATAGACAATCAAGCTGGCCAAATAATAGCTTCTAAACCTGGAGTGTGAGAACCCATGGACTGAATTCAGGGAAGTAGAGGTCTTCATCCCTGAAATTACATTTAGTGTGCATTCCCATTGATGAGAGAGAGAGAGAGAGAGAGAGAGAGAGAGAGAGAGAGAGAGAGAGAACGCTAGGGAGGAGATAGCACATTCATTGCTTTCAATAAATTCTCAAGGAGTCTACAATGAAAACAGCCTTGCCCTCCCAGATTTAGGACTGAGCAGGCTGTTTTCTAAGCAGCACTGAACTTCCAGGAGTGAGATGATATTGATGTGTCCGATACCACATCTTCTACCCCTTATTTAGAGAGCTTACGTTGCAAAACACTACTAAGCTTCTCTAAATGTCTGCTATGTGCACACAAAGGAAGTGAATTTCCCTTGAGTAAAGGTTTTCAGGACTCGCATCCAGCGACTGAGGCTCGGAACTCTTCATTGAGATTGCCAAGAAGGTGGTACCGGTGGAGATGCTAAAGGTAAAGGGTGCCTTTCAACTTGAGTCAGAAATACTTTCATGGCTCAAGCGTAGTATAATCTAAAGGTCTATGCTCACTTTCTTTTTTCTTTTTTTTAAATATATTTTATTGATTTTTTACAGAGAGGAAGGGAGAGGGATAGAGAGTTAGAAATGTCGATGAGAGAGAAACATCGATTCAGCTGCCTCCTGCACGCCCCCCACTGGGGATGTGCCTGCAACCAAGGTACATGCCCTTGGGCAGAATTGAACCTGGGACCCTTCAGTCTGCAGGCCGACGCTCTATCCACTGAGCCAAACCGGTTAGGGCATATGCTTACTTTCTTAAGAACTGAATCTGTCTACCGTACAGGCCAAATTCCAACTGGATAATTGCATTCTACTTTCTGAACATGGCTCTATTTTCAGTTTGATTAGAGATTCACTCTCACTGTCCCACCCAAACATCTAGGCCGTTATTTCACACATATGGAATACTAGTATCTGCTGCTTTTCAGTCCCGAGGGGGTAGCACTGCAATGGCAAGTCAATTATTGTGGTCAGTGTAGCCTAAAATTTTTGGCATATCTGGAAGGTTTATAAGGTAATGTTTAATTGCCTTTGCTGTGTACAGAGACACTAGAGCAAAGATATACATTATGAATGCAGCCGTTGGGGGATTGGAAAAAGCAGTAGGATCTTTCAGAGTTCATATTGTATCGGATGTATTTGAAGTCGCTGGTTGTTTGATTAAACCTCCATCAGAATTGACTCTTTCTCAGCACCCTGCTCACTGCTGCATTTCCCATTCCTGGCACGGGGCTGACACAGCCTTGGCCCAGTAGATGTTCGCTAAAGGAGCAACGAGGGAGGGAAGGAGAGAAGAGCTTTTCTTGGGGCTACCTTACACATTTCATTTCTTGGGACATATACTCCTAAAACTTCAGTAAGAAATCCAGAATTGGGCAGCCCCAAACACTACCCTGTTCATGTCCTCAGGATAATTTGATGAAAGCTCTAAAGCCTGTATCTCAAGCTTTCAGTGGGAACTCTTTAATTCTTAAATTCCTAGTTTTGCCAGAGTCTTAGTAGCCTCAGCAGGCCAACCACCCCAACAAATATATCTCTCTCTTTCTCTCTCTCTCTCTCACATATATATTAACATATAAATCATTCATTCATTCAATAACTATCTACTGACACAACCATAAGGCTTGCCTCTAAGCTTCCTCTAAATTCAGTACCGTTTGATCCCTGCATCATTTATTTGGGCACCATATGCTCTACCTTACATGGTTAGTATTCTTGTCACCGGTTGAGTTTTTTGCCTCCTAATAATGATTACAATGTCTATGACACATAGTAACCCCCACAAGTACCCAGGAAACTTATTAGCATATTATTACTTTATACCTTAACTAGAGGCCTGGTGCACAACATTCGTGCACTGGGAGTAAGGGGCTCAGCCCGGCCTGTGCCCTCTTGCAGTCCAGGATCCCCTTGGGGATGTCCACCTGCTGGCTTAGGCCCGCTCCATGGGAAGCAGGCCTAAGTTGGCAGGCGGACATCCCCCGAGGGGTCCTTAGTGCTGCGTGGAGATAAGAGAGGCTCCTGCAACCGCCAAGGCAGTGCTAAGAAGCAGCGAGCCCGGCTTCTGGCTGAGCAGCACTCCCCCTGTGGGAGCGCCCTGACCATCAGGGGGCAGCTCCTGCATTGAGCGTCTGCCCCCTGGTGGTCAGTGTGTGTCATAGCGACCGGTCATTCCGCCATTCAGTTGATTTGCATATCAACCTTTTATTATATAGGATGAGAATTTCATGGTGTTTAAGATATACAACATTAATTATATTCAACACTATGTCTATTTCTTTCATTTAACAACTCTGTGAAGTGGATAGTGTGAGCAAAGTACTACGTCATAAAAATCAAGAAATGATCAAGATATCATACCTTCACTAAAGAAGCATACAGTCTTGTGGGGGAGAGAATATAAACTGTTGGATTTAATAAAACACAGGGTGATGGAAATGTTTTATTGGTGCAGTGGTCCTCAACCAGGACAATTGGCCCTCCAGGGCATATTTGCCAACGGCTGGAGACCTTTTTGGTTGTCAAAACCGGGAAGTGTTATGCTATCTCGGGTGCAGAGGCCAGGGATGCTTTCTATAAACCTGTG